GAACTAGAAATTTACTCTTGATACAGTGAAACCAGAAGGCTGCTGCAAAAGGAACCATCATCAGTAGCCTGAAGTAATAGTCTCCTGTAATTTTAAAGCAAAGGAGCCCTGGTGTTTTGCAAGAATTTGAAAATCCCAAGAAATGCTCATCATATCCAACCTCAAAGATGTGGTGGCAGAGAACGGACAGAATTGATTTTGGTGCACTGTTTGTGTAGGTGATAGCACGTACCTGACTACTGGAAGACTATTTCCAGGGTAATTCACAGAATGATCTAGGTTGGAAAAGACCTTGAAGATAATCCAGTCCAACCATTTACCTAACACCGACCATTCTCAACTACTCAGCACTATGTCAACCAACTCTTAAACACCTCCAGGGATGGGGACTCCACCACCACCCTGGGCAGCCCATTCCAACATCCAACAACCCATTCTGTAAAGAAATGCTTCCTAATATCCAGTCTAAACCTTCCCTGGAGCAGCTTGAGGCCATTCCCTCTTGTCCTATTGCTTGTTACCTCGTTAAAGAGACTCATCCCCAGCTCTCTTTCAGGTAGCTGTAGAGGGCGATGAGGTCTCCCCTCAGCCTCCTCTTCTCCAGACTAAACACCCCCAGTTCCCTCAGCCGCTCCCCGTACGACCTGTGCTCCAGACCCTGCACCAGCTCCGTTGCCCTTCTCTGGACACGCTCGAGTCATTCAATGTCCTTTTTGGAGTGAGCGGCCCAAAACCGAACACAGGAATCGAGGGGTGGCCTCACCAGTGCCAAGTCCAGGGGTGAGATCCCTTCCCTGTCCCTGCTGGCCACGCTATTGCTGACACAAGCCAGGATGCCATTGGCCTTCTTGGCCCCCTGGGCACACTGCTGGCTCCTGTTCAGCTGGCTGTCAATCAAAACCCCCAGGTCCCTCTCTGACTGGCAGCTCTCCAGCCACTCCTCCCCAAGCCTGTAGCGCTGCTGGGGGTTGTTGTGGCCCAAGGGCAGCCCCCGGCATTTGGCCTTATTGAAACTCCTCCAGTTGGCCTCAGCCCATGGCTCCAGCCTGTCCAGGTCTCTCTGCAGAGCCTCCCTACCCTCGAGCAGATCAACACTCCCACCCAACTGGGTGTCATCTGCAAACTGACTGAGGGTGCACTCGATCCCCTCGTCTAGATCATCAATAAAGATGTTAAACAGGAGTGGCCCCAAAACTGAGCCCTGGGGGACACCACTCATGACCAGCTGCCAACGGGATTTAACCCCCTTCACCACAAGTCTTTGGGCTTGGCCATCCAGCCAGCAAAGCATGTGCCCATCCAAGCCACAAGCAGCCATTTTTGCCAGGAGAATGCTGTGGGAAACGGTGTCAAAGGCCTTGTTAAAGTAAAGTTAGACAGCGTCCAGAGCCTTTCTCTCATCCAATAAGACTGTCATAGGAGATCAGGTTTGTCAAGCAGGACCTGCCTTTCATAAACCCATGCTGACTGGGCCTGAGCATCTGATTGTCCCACATGTGTTGTGTGATGGCACTCAGGATGAACTGCTCTATCAGCTCTCCAAGCACCAAAGTCAAGCTGACAGGCCTGTAATTTCCTGGATCATCCTTCTGACCCTTCTTATAGATGGGTGTCACATTGGCCAATTTCCAATCTGTTGGGACCTCCCTGGTCAGCCAGGAGCTGGTAAATGATGGAAAGCGGCTTGGCGAGCACCCCAGGCAGCAACTTCAGCACCCTCGGGTGTATCCCATCCGGCCCCATAGACCTGTGTGTGTGTGTCTATGTGATGCAGCAGGTCACTGACTGTCTCCTCCTGGATTGTGGAGGAGTCGTTCTCTCAGTCTCTGTCTTCTGGCTGAGGAAGCTGGATTCCCTCAGTACAACTAGTATTCTTATTAGACTGAGGCAAAGATGGCATTAAGCACCTCAGCCTTTTCCTCATCACTTGTTGCCATATTTCCTCCTGCGTCTAGCAGGGGATAGAGGCCTCCCTGGTCTTTCTTTTGCTGGTGACATACTTACAGAAACATATCTTGTTGTCCTTGATTGCTGAAGCCAGATTAATTTCCAGCTGGGCTTTAGACCTCCTGATTTCCACCCTGCATAGCCTCACAGCATCTTTGTAATCACTGTGTGTGGCTAGCCCCTTCTTCCAAAGGCCGTAAACTCTCCTTTTCTCCAGCCAAAGCTCCCTGTTCAGCCAGGGTGGCCTTCTCTGGCGTTCACTTCTCTTACAGCACCTGGGGACTGCCTGCGCCTGTGCCATTAAGACTTTAAGAAAAGTGCCCAGCCTTCTTGGACGCCTATACCCTTCAGGATTGTCTCCCAAGAGATCCTGTCAAGCAGATGCCTAAACAAGTCAAAGTCAGCCCTTTGGAAGTCCAGTATGTCAGTTCTGCTGCCCCCTCTCCTGGCCTCTCTAAGAATAGAAAACTCTATTATTTCATATCTGCTGCTATGATGACCTGGAAAATATAACTAGCTCTACAGAATTGCTCACCTCTTTTTAAAGATGAACCCTTAGTTTTAGGAAAAAAGAAAAAAAAAAAAATCAACACATTTGAAACTAAATTCCAAATAATATTAAAGAAGCCTCATTTAAATTTTAAAAGTACAGCACTGTGTTTCCCTACCTAGAAACAGACCTTCAGCTAAATCTCAGATTAGTACTCAGCAGCTTTGCATGACTGGCCCTCAAATACATTTTAATTCCCTTAACTAAATTGAAAAAGTAAAAAAAAAAAAAAAAATATATATATATATATATATATATATATATATATAAAAAATAAAGAAGCAAAACACATACTGAGCGCTGTAAAAAAAATTTATCAACAGCACAAATCCTAATGCATATAGATTTTGAGATATTTGTTAATTAGGACTGTTGGCTATTCAGAGCATCAGAAAAACTCTTCCAACCTAATTAAGCTAATTCCAAGCATATTTATCAGGATTCACAATGGAAAAACTATCAGCTTTCTTACTGGAGAAAACCAAGACCCATTTACAGAAGCATTCTGCACAAATAAAGGGGTTTCAATTGCTTTATTTGTCCATTTAGAATGATTAGTATTTATAATCAACAATATAAATCCATCCCTCAGTGACGACCTGACAGCTTGTTATTGCCAAACATATTACAGCCTGCTGAAGGATGAAGAATTACAGCCATATAAAGATGAATAACACTATATCAGCATTAAATCACTTACTCTGTTCATAACAGTTTAATCCTCTAACATTATAAATTAAGATTAGAAAAAAAAAAAAATCAACATTTCCAGTGATAAAATATATTGTGTTTAGTACACAATATAACAGTACAGTTTATACACTAGTGCATTAAAAGGTAAAAAACCTGGACAGCTCCTGTGGAATAACTGCATCACTGCTGCTCTCTTACACATGACAGCTAAAATAAGTTTATTTTGAGAACTACTTCTCCTATACTCATATTACCTGAATATGAGGACCTAAAATTAGATTCCTTCACATCGGCAGTTACTAGTGACAACCCTTCTGAAATCAAGCAAGTAATGAACAGATTTGCATCCATACTTCAACCATCAAATGAAACTGAAGTGGAAAAATTGCTTTCATTTTTCACACAGTTAAGTAAATAATTACTTAATATTTGGAAGCATTCTAAAAGGGTTTTAAAGTTTAGTGGTTTGAACCGTTTTTCAAGGTTACTAGCATGTATGAAAATTGCACATATAATTGATTCATAAGCAGTCAATAGCAGTATCAGTACAACAGCTAAAAGATAAAAAATGTTACTTTCTAGAGACAGAATTTTGAGATCTTTTCTCCAAAAGTTAATTTGGAAAATAACCTTTATAAAAATTTTCAGTAATGATTCATATTACATTAACTCTATATTAGATGACAACTTCAAAGACTGAAGTTAATACTGGAATCACACCTCAAAATAAAGTGGACCAGAATAATAATCTGTATAAACTCAAGTATACTGCAAATTTATTTCTCAATATATTGCCTTCTACAGCTATTAGTGCCCAATTAAGTCTGTGGAACTAGTTGCCTGTCAATTAAACAGGATGTGAATGTAAAAAGTTGACTGACACAAAAGGCATATTTTGTTCTGGCAATAGACATCATCTTCATTCAAACTTACCAAGAACAAACAAGAAAAATTCAGAAGCCAACTGAATTTGGAATGCATGTGATGGAAATCCTATTCAGTACCTCATTATATTCTCAATTATTTTTTTTTTTTGGTAGCACAGTAACTTGGGGGAAAAAAAAAACAAAACACAACAAAACCAATGAACAATAACAAAACAGAATTCCTCCTTTCCCAAGGATTTGAAATTCCCTCTGAACTTTACTCTGTGATGTCTAGGAAAAGTTTAAAAACAGACACTACTGGGTCATATCACTGCCTGGCACATTAAACAATTCTGTCTGCATCCACCTGCTGTCACTTATGAATTCATAAGGGCAAAGACATTTATTTGAATTTTGGTTTATATAAGGATGTGATAGTACCCATATCTCCTCTGTGCTACAGTAATGTAATAAGCTAAATAACATTGTTATTATTTTAATTATTTTCTGCTCTAAACTTTAGATCCATCAAAAATGCGAGATGGTCACCCAAGGTTCTAGGAACAAAAGGCCAGTTTTTCCACATGACCTGACACAAAAGCACTTGCCAGCATCCATGATGCAGAGGTTTTATTCATTGCGCCATGCAAAACACCCCACAAGGCTATCACTATCAAACTGCAAGTTATGGTATCTTTTCATCCATTTCAATCCTTCTCTTAGAAAGAGGAGGTAGTTTAGAAGTAAGGCACATCCTGCACTGCATGATCAGCCATAAGGCACATTTTCGTAACCCTGAAAATATGATCTATTTTAGGGCTGGCAATGAAAGTTGGAAAAAGTAATCAGGAACAAGTGCATTTGATTGAGTACTGTAATGTCTAGCCTCAGACTGTAGCAGAAAAATAGACAAAACTTTAAAAAAAAAACAAAACAACAAACCAAACTACAGGAAAACTAGGTACTTCATCCAAATGAAATCTGAGAATGACAGACCTACAGAAGCATGTAGCACTGGCTCAGTAAGGCTTACTGGCATTTAATTCTTTCTATCAGAGTGAAAGGAATGGACACAATCACATAAATGTTAAAAATGCAGCTTGAGATGCCTCTGTCTTCTGTTAACTTCTGAAGTTATCTTAGAGGTGAGCTAGGAAGTTAAAATGTTGTTATGAAAAGAGATAGAAATCCATTATTTTATTTTCATCATTACCTTGAACTAAAATTTACCCCCAAAAATTGAAGACCAAAATCCCATAGCAACCAGGGGATAAATTCACAGTCATGTTGATACTTACTAAAATAAACCTTTAACAAATAATAATGACAGAATTCAGGTTCCTTGCCAGCAGATCAATCTCAGCATAGCATCAAATTGTCCTCAAAGTTTGAACTGGCTCTTATTCGAAGTAATATGAGAATTGGGTACTCCCAACACAAAAGTTATCTCAGCTAGCTTCAACATGAAAATTGTCAAACTGTGCAAACTCAAATGAGCGAGTTCCAATAGCAGCCCAGCCGTTACTTGGTTCAGAAATGGTGACATTCTCCCAGAGTGGATAACCATTTAACAGTCCTGAGGTAGAAGTGCCCTGTCAAAAAAAAAAAAACAGAAAAGTTAGCTTTGTAAAATCCAGTGATTTTGTTGATATTGAGCCTGCTCACATGGGAAAAGAGACAAGGCAGAAAGATGTCAAGTCAACTTTCAACTATAATTTACACATTTCCATGCAGAGATGCTTCTAAATATTGCACAGAATCCACCAGTGCCTATCAGCTCTGTGAAACAGATCTAATGCCTTTACAGCAAATATATAAAAGACTCATCTTCCTATAACTCACAGCTTTGCAAACTCAGTGTAGAATCTGAAAGGTAAACTGGTTTTCCTCTTCTACTTGTGTCAGGCTCCGTCAAACAGCCCAACTGTCTAAAGAGGATACAATACACCTGGGACTGATTCTGAAAAATTAGGCAAAAGTCAAAAGGAAAGAGAGATGTATTTTAGTCATTAAGCTGAGAGAAAGTGGCAAGAGCAGAACTTTAAAATATCATGTTGCCATTAAAATTAAAAACAGTTTCAGGAAAAGTTACAATTTGTCTTGCCGGTGTTCCACTAAACAGTATTTAGAAAAAAAAAAATAAAAATTTCAGTTTACTTATATTTCTTAATCTGAAAGAGAATTACAGACACGGGTAAAAGCAAAGAATGCCTTTCAAGAAGGAGTCAGCAGGATAATTCTTTAAAGAGAGCTCTGCACTTCTGTCATGACATCAAATGCATGTTTGGCACAAAATACTTAAACGGCACTGATGGAAGTCTGTAGCATCATCGCTTTAAAATGAACACCACTGTTCTGTATTTTAAACTATTTATGTTAATCTTCAGCACCCCATTGAGATTAGCAAATGTCTTGCCCAATTTACAGATGGTAATCCCTGTCATAAGTGTGGGTGAACAAAAGCAAAACTAAACTACAACCATACCAGTGAATGCCTCAGGTACGAGTGTCCCTTTGTCTCCCAATGTGAAAGCACAAAAACCTGCCAGCCTCTAATACTCACTGACATTTTAGGATGAAGGAAAGACTCAGTGCCTAACTTCAAAAGGGAGTTTCCTTCAGTAGATGATCTTGCCAGATAGGATTCAAGCTTCCTCACATTTCAGCTACATTGCAGTTGTAAAAGTTACATTAGGGAAAAGGACTTTCAGCAGAGGGACTTAAAACCTTTTAGTTACTTGCACCAATGTCACACCCAGCTAAGTGCACAGGTATATAAGAAGTAGAGTTTAGTAGTTTACTGACAGTCTTCAGAACAGGAAGTCAGGCCATGATCTTTTCACTAGATTAAACAAAAGTCTTGCCTCTCTAGCCCTCCTATCTACAGTTTTCAACTCATCTTTCCAGTTATTTTCTATACTCTCCAGTTTCTCAAGATCTCTAAAAATACAGGCAGCAGAACTTGGTACGGTATTTTAATATTTGTTTAAAATAAACAGATACTATTTTTTTAGGTAGGGCAAACTAATGTAAGTAGCCAATAGTATAGCATAGTTTTGTCTAAAACATTTAGAACTGGAAGTTTCATAACTGGTTTTCTAGCTTTTTGCCTGTGTCCTTACCTGAATGTTGAGAGTAAGTGTGTGCCACGCATTATCCCGAACACCAGAAAGTCCTTTCATTAGTATTTCTTCTCCAGCTGCAAAACATGCTTAAGGTTAGAAAAGTGTTACTTCAACCCCTTTGCTGAGACTGATAGATACCAAGCCAGCAAAAGGAAAACTACTTATTTTTCAGCAGCATTCAGGACTGTCATCTTACCAATTTCAACTGCAGCATAGAAGGCTTAACACACAAACCTGGACTCTACATTATCAGTGCACTCTCCTGCCTTGCCAGAACTGTTTTTCCAGTGCAATCTCCAATGTTCTTAACAATCTGGACTAAGATAAGGATTCCCTCTATTGAGAGTATGGGTTTATAAAGTGCGACAGTAGCTATTGCTCTGCTTGCTTCATAATCTCCTTGTTTGTATTAGAACTTTTTTAAATCAGAGGATTTGAGTTGCCACATCATCATGTTGCTTAGTTCTAGTCAAAATTGAAGATAAGGAAGAATTGGGTGTGACTGACACCTGGATGGAAGACCTGAAAAAAAAATTAAGTGCTACAAGTAGAATCTTCAATTATTCAGTAGACAGTTTTAGCTGCAAGTTAATTTAACATTCAGGCTCCCTTCTAGAAAAATATAGACACCACTGAAAATAGCTGTACAGAAAAAAATTATCATCTTGTGCAACAGTCTGAAATAATGAGGTGGTTAATCAAAATACTCTCATTTCATCTAGGAAAAATTATTTTTGACAGCCTGAGAAACTAATTGGGTAATACTGTTATGTCTTATTAAAAATAAATACTGGAGTCAATCCTAAACATGAATATGTTTTTCCATACAGCTCAAATTAAGTTGCTGTGCAGTTAAACATTGTGAAGTTTCCCCAGGGAGCACCAGAATGTTAAGAGAAGATAATGTAAAGCCTTCTTTATGCTATCCATACATGGTAAAAAAGAAAAAAACAAAAAAACAAACAAAAACAACAAAACAAAACAACAAAAAACCACAAACAAAACAAAAAAAACAACACAGAAGAAAAAAATTACAAATGAGAAACTACAGCTACCAAATAGAAGAGACTATTTTTAAGGTCCAGTACAGTGTAAATTGAGTCGTTACAAGCTGTCTTCATATCAGATATACTGTAGATCTAGAAGTTTCATTTGACTTGTCAGAAAACATGAGTTTTAATTTATACTCATGAAGTGAGAGGAAATGCATTTAAACAAAATCTGCCACTATTTCAAAGCAACTTAAAAAGAATTTTTAGCTATTGATGAAGTATTATGACATACACTTCTATGTGCCTGTCAAACATTCTGTAGATGCACATATGAAAGTGAGCCTCACAAGCAGAACATGCTCTCACTCCACTGAGCTAAACTGCATAACAGAATGCATAATTTGTGGAAACAGTAAGCCACTCATCACCATTCACCTAAGCCAGATGTATGCACATTGACTTGCACTGCTCAACAAGACAGGCCACTGCATTTTAAGCAAGATTTTCTTTTTAGGTGTAGCGAAAGAATACAGATCAAGACTTTTTGTAATTAATACTGTAACAGAGTATTTATGAAAAGCAAAATAATTTAACATTTGCTAGTGTAAAATGTTTTATCAGCAGGAAAAAAAAAAAATCCAGAAAGCTGAGGCTGCGAAGTAGTCCAGCCAGCAGCCTTCACATACAAAATGTGGCCATCATTAAACCACAATGGATTACATTTATTGTGATAACAACCGAATTACAAAATCTGAATGTTAGTCATTTTTACCAAAGCTATCAAAATTACATGTCCATATGTCAGCATCCACTTTAGCAAAGAGCTGCTTACCTAGGTCACCAGTGACTCTGTAGGTGCCATCTGCAAAAACCCAGAAGAAAACTCCCTTGGTACGTCGAACATATATCCCACCACTGTCGACTCTTCCTGCAATAAACACACCTCCATCATGTTGTTTTTCTATGTAGATGTCACAAGTGACCGTCATGTTTACCCTGTAAGAGAAGTATAGTGTTTTAACAAGCAAGGCATTGATTTTTTTTTTTGAGGAGGCAGTAGGTAGAATAATATTGCCTATATAGTACAGAACATTTTTGAAGAAAGATTTAGCAATCCTAATTGTGACCTACAGACATGAGATACACAGGACTTATAAGACTGGTTGCTTCCCACCTGCAAGTCTGAAGATTTTCTGGTAAAGAGCAATTCTCAGAAACCAACCACGAAACAAAGTGTATTGTCAGCAACTTTCAATTAATTACTTAAAAAACCCAACCCCCCAAAAAAACTCACACCAAAGGTTTGCATCTTTACAGAAGGTCTGCAAAGTGAAAAATTGCTTTTAGATAACTATACCAAGTTCAAAATTCAAGGTCATAGCACCACATCTCCTAAAGTTCATCTTTGTTGGGGTCAGCAGCTTGATGTCCAAGTGTAGAGCAATGAGGAGTGGCATTGGAGTCAGTATTGAGACTGGCGCTGTTTAACATCTCTGTCAGTGACATCGACAGTGGGACTGAGTGCACCCTCAGCAAGTCTGATGACAACACCCAGCTGTGTGGTGCAGTCAACACACTGGAGGGAAGGGATGTGCCATCCAAGGGACCTGGACAGGCTGGAGAGGTGGGCCGGTGCAAACCTCGTGAAGTTCAACAAGACCAAGTGCAAGGTCCTGCACATGGGTCGAGGCAATCCCAAGCACAAATACAGGCTGGGCAATGAGTGGATTGGGAGCAGCTCCGAGAAGGGCTTGGGGTACTAGTGGATGGAAAACTGACTGTGAGCCAGCAATGTGTGCTCACAGGCCAGAAAGCCCACCGTGTCCTGGGCTGAATCAAAAGACACACAATCAGCAAATCGAGGGAGGGGATTCTGACCTTCTACTCTGCTCTCGTGAGACCCCACCAGGAGTACCATGTCCAGCTCCGGGGACCACAACATAAGCAGGACAAGGACCTGTTGGGGTGAGTCCAGAGGAGGCCATGAAGATGATCAGGGTGCTGTAGCACCTTCCATGTGAGGAGAGGCTGAAAGAGTTGGGGTTGTTCAGCCTGGAGAAGGTCTCTGGGGTGACCTTACAGCAGTCTTCCAGTACTTAAGGAGGGCCTCCAGGAAAGGTGGGGAAGGACTCTTTATGAGGGAGTGTGGCGATTGGATGAGGGGTAACAGTTTGAAACTGAAAGAGGGAAGATTTAGATTAGATATGAGGAAGAAATTCTTTACTGTGAGGGTGGTGAGACACTGGAAGAGGTTGTCCCGAGAACTTGTGGATGCCCCCTCCCTGGAATTGTCCCAGGCCAGGTTGGACAGGGCTTTAAGCTACCTGGTCTAGTGGAAGGTGTCACTCCCCATGGCTGGAGGGTTGGAAGTACAAGATCTTTAAGGTGCCTTCCGACCCAAACCATTCTATGATTCGATGATTTCTCTAGGATTTTTAATGCAGGCAAAGTCTTAAGCAATTCTGATCTCTTGCCCAAAAGTCAAAACAAACTTTTTTAAACAAAACGTTCAAATACATTGAAATTATTTCATTTTCCTGAGGTGATACTTTAGAGCACTATGTTATACATATAATGAGAGATGTAAAGGAGAATAAAGCAAAAGGAATACCAGAACAGTCAAATGGCACCCAAAAAGTTTACACAACTTCCCCTGTTTTGAAGTCGCATTACAAGCCTCTTAACAATAGAAATTAAAAGCATTCAGCTCAGCAACTCTTCTCCCCATCTCTTACATAATAGTAGGAAAGACGTGAGATTTCATTCTAATATAATACTATTAGAAGTAACAGATTGTGGGATATTCATTACACAAACAAGATGTCTTACTTCCCTATATATTAAACAAAAGACTCCAGATCTTAAGCCATAATAAAGGAATTGGAAGCAATGTAGAATGAGTTAAATAGTAATATTCTCAGGATACATAAACTGAGGTAATAAAACTGAGATAATAAAACTGAGAGCAAAACATGAACAAATTCATTAGTAGAAACAAAAAGCTTTCACAATCATGAGACTAAACCTCAAACTAAAAAATCCTGAAGTTTAATCATACTAAATTGCCATTGATGACTGAAGTCAAATATCATTCCACAGAGAAATTCAATATAAGATTGGTTCAGTATTTCAATAGCATATACTATTGATGTTGAAAACATCTTCCTAGGACAAAATGAGCCTTAAACTGGGGATAAAGCAAATAAATCAGAGGGCCAAAAATTGAAGACTATTATGAAAAGTTACAGATCAGTAACTTGAATAATCAGCTGAATATTCAGGAAGCAAGCTTGGTTCTGAAAACAAGATGAAAATTGAGAAAAAAAAAAAGAACCAAAATGAAATAATAGGAAGATTTTAGGAATCTCAGTACTGTAATTTAAGAATACATCCTGTGTAGCTGTCATAGGGATCACTGAATATGTTCTATTCAATGAGCAAAAGTTGATTATAGGGGGAATATGAGACTGCTTAACAGACGGCTGCAAAAGAAAATATTGGGTAACTGAAGAACAATCTCCAACCACAAGATGGTGGTATTATTCCAAGTTTCAGAGCAAAGTGATTCAATCACTTGTCCAGGCCAGAAATTAGAAGTATGAATAATGTTCTGAAGTAGTACTTGGGGGATCAATGATCTAATCAATGTGAAAACAAACCTGGCAGTATGGCTAGTTTAAAGAACATATCAGAAGAATTTAAGGTAGACTTCCAAATAGAAGAGAGTTTTAAGCATAAAGTTTATTATTACTTACTATTACTAAACCAATTAGTTTACAGGTTCTTTCCCAAATGCTTTTTAATTTAAAATAAATATTATCCTACAATATGCTCCTTGATTCCAAATTATCATCATTATAGCTCCTAGAAAGAACTGCAACCATAACCATACTCTTGTCGAATCAGTAAAGCTCAGTTATGTTTACCCAGAAATAAAACTGTTTTAAGTAGCAGTTGAATCAATTCCACACAGTTCTAGGAACTGCTCAGAAGATGGCAGTCTGCAACAAACATAACTGAATTAACTCCCAGTCTATCTCATTGATATGAGATTCATCAAATTACTAACAATCAAGCAAGACAACTCACAACTAAGTAATTTAAACTGAATGAATTTTTTGACCCATTTAAAGATGTATTGAAAACTTAGTGCACATTTTGAATTAGGATTTTGACTTGGTCTTTCTAGTACACCAAGCCAGACCCATTATTCTGAAAAAAACAGCAAATATGCCCAGCATGACATCAGGAAAAAAATTTCCAAGATAATATAGCACTAGGCTAAGGTACCAAGGAGCTGTGGTAGACTCTCCATCCTTGTGTGTTTTTAAGACTCATTTAGACAAAGACATAGTTGATCTCTTACAACTGGCATTAGCCCTGAACAGGTCCCAGTGACTTCCGGAAGTCCCTTTAAGTCATCATTTCTACACGTCTACAGAGAGTCTGAATGAAAAAACTCTGTTCAAGAGAAATGAAGCTTAAAACAGATTAACTGATTATAACTCATACAAGTAAGGAAGACATTTCCCCAGATATTACTAGAAAATAGTATTTACAAACCACTGAAAATTTCCTATGAGACTGATGGTCTGGTCTGCATCAGATGCCCAAGTGATGGGTCGCTGAACCACCACCTGACGGAGCGTGAACACATGATCTCCTGGGTCAGAAGCATTTATGAAGTATTCAAATACACCTGTCTGATCTGCAAAATTGGGGGCTTCACTGAAAGGTGGATTACCTATTTGGAAAAGAAAATACATATCAATACCAAAACATTATTTTTTTTCTGTGTACTCTTGTTTTCAGAAATTTCCTCTGAAAACATCCTCCAGAATTTTCTACTTGCTCTATCTCTACTTGCTCAAAACTGAAGTTTTGAGAGTTGGAAGGTCAGTTTAGCTGGTTTGGGTTTTAAGCAGACCCCAATTTTTGCAAACACATGAAAAAGTAAAATTACCTTCTTCCTTATCTTCTTTCTAAAACGTAGTTTGCTATAGTTATGAGCTATCATTTGCATCAAAAATTAAAACTGTTAGAGACCACCCAATTAAGACACAGAATTAAATACACCTCATTTCAAGTGAGATATAGAGATGTAAGTTGTTGGAGAAGCAGGTGTAAATAAACAAAAATAAAACACACATTCAGACTATTTCATGTCACTTAGAGGACTCATAACATATTTGCCTTTCCACATTAAAACTATATCTCTGTGTGAATCAAGCTTTTGGATAAGAGAATTCTGACTTACGAATATTGAAATCATCTTTGTAATTTGAAGGGAAGGGCTGAGGTGGTGGAGGCTCTGGGTAACCACATTTCTGCCCTGTCTTGAGTGTGGTTAAAGTGTAGACTTCATTCATATTTAGATCTAAAGAAAAACTTCCCTTCCACACCTGGAATTAAAGAAAGCTCAAGCTGCAAAAATAGAACAACTAAATAACAAAATACCGAAGTTCCTGAATTAAAGGAAATCCTCTGAAGTCCTGATTTAAGGCAAAAAACCTGTTGTCTTGCCTCAGCATTTATTATCTCCAAGCAAATGGAAAACCCCTTTCCCTCAAACTCTTTATTACCTCCAGATAAGCTTGTATACAGCTAGTAAAATTGTAGCCAAATGGAACCAATAAAACATGCCCTAATTATACAGTTCAGGCATGAAAGTCCAGGAGTTCCAGCAAAGGGAGAAGAAACACTTGCAATTGCAGAGAGACTAATTAAAACTGTTCAACTTACCTTTACAGGATGGAGTTGCTGGAAAAGACTAGAGTTTCCAGATTCAAAACCAAGTCTAGAATGCCACACTTGAAGGGTTTCCACCATATACTGCAATGAAACACAATGTAAAATAAAATTTAAAACCAAACAAAAACACCACAAAAAAAAAACTATTTAGTATTCATCTTGAGAAATATCAGTCCTTTAAGGGTGTCTAATTTTATATTTTTTAGAGCTGTTGATCACATTAAAAGGCCACCACTCTAGTCAGCCATTACATATGGCTTATCTTTTCATAGATTATACATCAATAAGTCATTGTCCTAACATGTAGTAATGTTGCTTATAAAGACGGAAGCATTGCAATCACACATGCAATCTTTAGCTTCTCTATTAGCAACAGTGGTATCCCTTCAATACAAGCTCTCTGCCTAGGAGCAATGAGACTCAAATAAACTCCTGATAATTTTGCTTTAGTAACACCTTTAGTTTAGTTGCTGGTTCTCTGATACTCATTTTTGAGCAAAGTACTTCGCTTACAGTTCTCCAAATTTCTGTGATGCTATGGCGTATCAACTACATTAGTTACAGATTTTAATCAACCCCTACAATTTTTTTAGGTACTCAGACAAACAACAAAGAAGCAACCTAGAATTTGGTTTGGATAAAATATCTGATACTTCCTCCAAAGGGAGCTGTACATCAAAGGTGACATTCAACTACTTTTCCCAAGCAAACAATTTATTGCCAAAAGTATTGTCCAAACTATCTCCTCTTAAATGAAAGCAAACTAATGCCACCAAAAATCAAATGCCAAATAAGTAAATGCTTTCAGCTTCTGAGAAGCAATCACCAAAATCAACTACCAAAGATTCACTCCAGTTAACACTGTCAAAGTATTGTTCACATTTCTGAACAAAATTCAGTTTAGTGAGGTTTAAAAAAAAAAATAAATAAATAAAACTGGGAGATTCTCTATCTCTTCAGAGGATGGAATAACATAACCTACAGTATACAATCAACAGCAGTTACTCCCCAGGAAAGGAGCTGATAACAACTAGAAAGGTCATGGCCATGCTGTCTGGTCAAACAATGTCAGCACTTCAGAGCCTTGGAATAATTTCTAAAATCCAACTGTATTTCTGCTCTGAGGAATCTCTTCTTCAATATACAGTGATTATACTGGGAAGTAGTAATTCTATGACTTTAGTTATGACATTACGTCTTATGGTAAAAGCAGTGCTAGAATACTTAAAACTTTGTCAGGTGTGTAACAGCCTCTAATATTGGAAGTAATGAACTCCAATTTCTTGTTAACCTCTGATATTGTTTTACATGTATTTGATTATACATAGCAATTCACTTTACAAGGCTGATCAAATATATTCAAGATCTACTTACAAATGACCCTTTGAGGTTGAAAGTTGCTCTCTGAGGTGTCACACTGAAATGAGGTAGTGGAGGCCTGATACACTGAGAATGATTATGCGTCTGAAGAAAAAAATAAATGTAATGGAAGGAACGTACATTACTGGAATGTATCGTTTGGCAATGTTCATTAAAAACATATAGAATAAATCATAATTTAAAAAGTAACGTAGGATCAGTTTGCAATTATTTATTTTATCTTAATGAACACTGCAATTATACTAGCTTAATAATTTTATTTTGAAGACTGCTTAAGAAAAGCACATGATTTCATTTCCCCCCAGAGCATGTCATCAAAACCAATGTGATATTAAGATGACATACATTGGCCTCCAGGAAGATTCAACTAGCTATTCAAAGTTTAGATAGAAAAAAAGACCGCTAGTGCTCTCATTAACAAAACTACAAGCATTGAAGAACTTATTCACAGATTTTGAACTACATAAATAAAAACAGGTTCTTCATAACAAAACATTTCCTTTATCTTTTATAGTTCATCAGAATCACTGAAGGACATACCATAGTTTCAATGATAATGGTAAGGTTTCCTAGGCCATCTGTCAGAGCTACAAAACTGCCACCTCCTTCTAAGTGTCCATCCACTTGCAAGTATGACCAGCCTGGCTGAGTAAATTGTGTTGTGTGTGCTGAAACAAGAGAGCACAAAAGAAGAAAATAATTAAGTCTTAGAAAAAAATAATACCATTTGTAGTCTGAATTAAATTTCTCTCTCATACATGCTCACACAACAAAAACTTGATTTTGGGAAGAAAATGGAACTTCCATAAGAAACTGTAGTTATACCGGAAAGATTAAAGAATTATACTAAGGCACAATTAAAAACATCAGCTCTGTGGCAGATGAAACAGTTAAAATGATAGTGATTATTTACACAGGAAGAAAAACCTATTACACCACTATATAAATCAATCATGGTACGTGCAATATGAATATTCATCACAGTTTACGTTTTCCCAAATCTTTTTTTTCTTCCTTTTTTTTTAAAAAAAAAATAAACAAACACTTGAGCCACAGAAAGCATAGATGGGCATCTCCATGAGGAGTAACTAAGTATGTAAGCTTTTCAAATATATAAGAGAGAATACCAGAAAAGAATACAACCTAGACCATGAAAATTCCTGAGCAACATGGAAACAGGAACAACTGCTCAGTTGTTCTGAACTGTTCATATGACAGTATGGCCTTTTTTTTTTTTTTTAATGCTTTTACATATGTAATTAACTAGCAGAAGAACAGATATGAAGGTATTTGCCTTGTTCCTTCTTTATGGCTTTGCATATGCTACTTGCTCTACTGAACTGTGGCAGACAGTGAAATATTACAGAAGGCCTTTAAAGTAGCCAGTGAATCCATGTGTCCATAGACACCATGTGAACATATTCCCCCTTTCCCCAAGGACAAGGAAATGCTGACTTACACAAGCACGACAAGAACACAAAGATTTTTTGTTCCATTTTCTCAAATTGAGAGATATTAAATGTCTATTTAAGGATTAAAAAAAAGAGAGAAAGGAACTAGGAAAGCACACTAATCTTTATAGGCATTTCAGATCAAAACATTTTAGTAACACCTATAAAAGGCAGTAGTTTATTAATTTCTGCTGTATCTAACGGTAAGGTATTAAGATTTCCCTTGCTATTAGATCTTTCTGCTTTCTATTGAAAGAAGCTTTTTTTTTTCCTCCTTCTTTAAAGTATTAGCAACACCTTCCGTAAAACTACTTTGATTTGGTACAAAAAATAATACACATAAAAAACACTAAATAAAGGCCTCAGAAAATACAGTTATGCTCTGTGTTAGATCACAAACCTTTTAACTGCAAACTTTTTACCTGTAATCCAGATAGGAGCTTCTACTTTGTAGTGGCCACTCCATGGCTCTTGAGCTGTCATTAATCCACATCGACCAAAGGGCAACTCTTCATAATAACTAGCCACCAAGTTCCATGCAATGGTTCTGCAAGAAAAACAGGTTTGTTTGCTCCATTCATATGGATAGTATTAGATGAATTTAGTACAAGAATTTATTCTTCTTTTCTCCAGCATACAATGAAAAGAAGCTTAAGGAAAAATTTAAAATATTTCCAGCTAAAGGAGAAAAACAACACACCAGAGGAAAATAAACCAAATCAACTTTCAACATTGAGAACTTCTTACAAAATTGATGATACCTTCTCTGACTGTATCACCATAAGAAGTTGCACATTAAAGGAAAAACGTACTGAGGGTTAAAGACTCCATTCGTTAGGAGTTTCTTCCTGTTTTGAAGGGGAAAAAAAATGAAGCTATCAGTGCTTACAGCTTTGTGTTGGGGTGCTGGCATTTTTCTGTTCATTGGTTGGTTGTTGCTGGTGGTAGGTTTTTTTGGGGAGAGGGATTTTGGGGAGCAGTTAAGTACCACTAAAAAAATAATCCTTCCTTTATCTATAAAAATAGCAATCAGAAAGCAATTCTAATCAGCCATCCTGAAAGAGTTGTTGGCATTTTAAGAAGCTGTCAGGATACTAACAAGGCTAATTATTTCAGATCTTTTTATTTGGTCTTCACTGTAAATCTTTTGCTAGGACTTTAAACTTAAGACCTGTGTGCCATAAGTATGCAAATACAGCTTAATAAGGCAGTTACGTAGAAAGCAAAAGCTTGAATGCTGTTCTATTTTGTATAAGTGAGTGCAAAGGCTTCATATTTTAACGTCACTGCCATCAAGTTATCACACAATATATGTATTTCAGAAGAGAACCTGAAATCCTACAAAAGTTGCACATAATTCCTGAGCTGTAAACTTAACTTGCTCACTTTAAACTTGTTCTTCAGAGTTTCAAGCCTAGAAAAGGAATGCAGGGAACTCGAGTTCAAGGGAAATTAGCTCATCAGAAAAAAACAAAACAAAACAAAACTGCCTTTCGTCAGGAAGACTGTTTCCAATAGAAAAGCCAAAATAACTTCAATATTGGATACATGGACTTTGAACTATTCCACAATAATTTCTGAACACAATACATAGATCTGGCTGTCAGGTTGCTAATCAAAAGGCATATATAAATACAAAGGGGTTGTTTAAAAAGAAAAAAAAAGGAAAACAAAGACTCCAAAGTAAGATATTGAAGCATGAGAACGAAGAGGTAACTGGAATGGCCAGGAATTCACACAGGAAATATTCACCTGTTAGAAAATTTCAGCTTGCAGAGGAGAGAGAAGATTCATAGAAACCAGGTGACTCAAGAAACTTCCCTTTACAAGCATCCAAGTGCTTTGTGCTGTGCTGAATTTGCAGCATTTCAGACAAAAAACATTTCTCTTCATTGTTCCAAACTAAGTTACATACAAACTAAAAGCTTTGAACAATTTTGCTTACATCTTGATGACTACATTTCCTTTAATCAGACTTTTTTTTATATTAGTAGCTGTTGCTACATCTAAATATGTTTTCTATTCTGTTCTAAAACTGCAAGCTCTGTAACTTCCCAATAAATAGAACAGCTTTCTTCCAGATTTCAGTTTGGAAAGAATATGTGCAGGAAACAGTAAACATAGCAAAAGACTACAGCAAGTTTTAATGGACTCCAAGAAAGAAGTTGCATGGAAAAACTAGGTAACGGCATGCATACCTACTACTATTAACTGAAGACAAACCACCTGATAAAGACCCTAATAAAAATGCAGATAAAATAGTTTCTTCTAATATTTTCCTCCAATATTTTTCATGTTGTTAGTTCTTCTTACAAACATTGATGATATCTGTTAAAAAGAGAAAGTCAAAGGCATCTGAACTCAGCTGCATAAGCCACTGGAAACTGGAACAGTAACTCAAGAATACATTAAGACTTGTGCGAGTTCTATGCCAGAAATAGGTAAGGACAGTAGATTTCATACTTTACTATGCTTGAATTGAAACTGACAGTGGAGAGTTTAACTACTATCTTACCATAGCAGATGGATGTGTTATATAGTACTTTTACAACAATTCTTACACATGAAGTTGTGAAAGTGAGCAACAGCGTGCAACACTTACGAGGTCATGTTTCCGTTCACGTAGTTTTGGTTCAGGATCCGAGCCCAGCAGCCTGCACCTACTTCATCATTGAAAGTACTGTAATCTTCAGAAGACCACAGTTTCTTCTTAGTTAATAAGGCATTTGGCACTGTTTTTGTTCCAGGATAGTGAGCCCTACACAGTATTTTAAAAAGAAAGAGCACTTATCACAAAAAGAAAAATAAATCCTGAAAGTACACACAGCAGCAATGATTCCCCTCCTCCAAATGGAAAATTAAAACAAACTTTCTTTGGAATAATACTAATGGAATAGAAGAAAATGGAACAAGGGCATGATATAATATTCTGTAGGTTATTATATTTGCATCAGTAGAAGATTGTTTCTTCTGATACATGGCAGCATATAAGTAAACCTAGCTTTAAAAGTATCATGCAATTCCTTCAGCTTGATAAAGCAAAGCTTTATCCTGAAATTGAGCTTGAAGATTTTTTATAACCATAGCATGCTAGAGAAAATAAAAGCTACCTTGTACTATCTTAGACAAAACTTTAAATAATTATAAAGCAAACAATAAGATACAGTACTAGGCAGTATTCAAATAACTTAAGTGCATGAATGTCTTAGGACCTAAACATGAATTTCACTAATTTTGCACTCTTTTTTAATAAACTCAGGCTTCAAAAAGGCATGCGCTAGTTGGACTATAAAAGTTAGAGGTGTGAAGTGAAAATAGTTGAAACATATAATGAAAGTTAATTTTCTTTCCAAGAGCTTTCTTAGTATGAGGAGAGATGCTTTGTCCCAAATGAAGACCACTGATTGTACTCAATCACAACACTGATGCACTGTGCCAAATTAATCTGAAATAAAACCTTTCAAAACACAGAAAACAGGTCATGATTTTCCCCTCACTTAGCACACTCATTGCACACACTAAATACACATGCTAAAATGAAACTATCATCACTGGAAAGGAAGGCAGACAACCTGACAAATTGATAATTTGTGACAGGGACAGAAGAACTACCAAGTTTTTTTGTGTTTGTTGTTTTTTGGGTTTCATTATTTTCCCCCTGCTGGTCAATAGGCCATTTCCCAGTGTTGTAGTCCTTTATACATAGCTTCACTAAGGACAATGTAACAGATAGTAGAGATTTTAGCTACATTTTTCTCTGCTGTACAGATTACTGCATATTTCCCCTTTGGCTTGGAAACACAAGTATTATCTTAATATCAAGAAAAACTTTTGTAACAGCATAAAGTCTGTAGCTTGTAAAGAAAAAGCAAAGAAGGAATACTTTGTCTTTCTACACTCCATATCCTGAAGAGCTGTTTCTTAAATATCAAGAGCCAACATCCCTGTCAAATAAAAGCTGTGCCTAACAAAATAAAATAAAAATAAAAAATCCCACACAAACAGGGCAGTGTTCGAGAGCTTTACATAAGATTAAACAGGAACAAAATGTAGAGCTCTGATTTCCTGCACTAAAACAGAGGGTCGCCTTTATTTGCATAAAAGGGAAGATAAATAATTCAATGCAAAGACACTAAAGCAATGGCAATAAATTGGAAAAAAACAGGGATGAAAAACAGGATTAAAAGTTACAGGGAGAACAAACAGGTTCTAGAGACAGACTCCCTCAGTGTACCTTTCTTTATTGGCAATTTTGCTTCACTTAAAGCCCACACACTTAAAACCATTCTCATTCTGTCCCATTGGTATGCAATCGGGCAAAACAGTTTCACCACTGTGAGAAATTAATAATTTTTCTCTACTCTTAGATGCAATTTCTATTACTATTAATGAACACAACATACACTATATTTGCTTTTCACTTACACTGCTGTTAACCAAGGGGGGTTGTTTTACTTTCATTAATATTAAATTAGTCCTTAAAAAGTGAGACATGACTAGTACACCAATCTTTTTAAAAAAAAAACAACAAACTTCTAATAGCACTGCAGAGTGTATACTTCAAAAAGATCCACTCAAATGCACAAATAAACATTTGCTATCAGATTGCAGTAAAGATTTTCATGCTGGATTTGTTAACCTCCGATTTATATTTAAACACTGCATCATGCTACAGGCCTCTTTTAGAGGTCTTGTGCCACTCTACTAACACAAGGTGTGCATCAGAGGACAGAAGATTAGCAGTCCACGACAGTGGTTCTCTGCTCCTTCAGTAGCAAAACCAATCTTCTTACTTCACTGGAAATGAAAACTACAAAGGAGAAACTATACTCTAATCACTCTCAAGAAATAACTGGGCCACTCAAGGACCACTACCATTTGGAAAGACTTGAGCATCTTCATTAACATTTCAGGAAAAAACAGACTCCTAAACACTTATCTTTCTTGCTGCCTGAAAAAATGAACTGGACTAGTTTATGCATCATTTTTACAGATGTGATGCTTCGGAAGAAGCAGCGGGACTTTAGATTCTCTGCTCAAAAGAACAGAGAGCCTGACACACTATAACAGAAGACCATTTCAAAGAGAGAGGAAAAAGCTATGTATATCATGAAAGAGGGACAAAGAATGGATCTTGGTGGAGAAAAAGTAATGAAAGGAATAGTAAAAACAAAATTACAAGAGTGACACATAAGTTTAAACATCTTATCTCTGCAAAAGAAGATTTCACCAAGAGCTATTACTATCAGTGTTTGCATTCTTCAATCCACTGTCATTTACAAAAAAATATGTTCCCTTCTTCTTTCAGTGTCTCTGGAACCAGCAGATGGGTGGTTCATCATCAGGGCCTCTAGCTGCTAGAGTGGTAACAAAGTATTTTTAAAATATTAACTAGTATGAAATTGTGTGTTTTACACAGCAGATGAAGGGGCAATGTAATTCCAATGGGAAAAAAAAAAAAAAATCCAGAGTTCACTATGTAGGGCAGCTAAACTAAATCAGATATATTAAGAAAGTATCATTAACTAAACCTCTTCTATTTATGGATTGCAAATGCTGCTTTGCACAGTCATCCACAGTGACTTCATCTGGATAACTTAGTTAAAAAACAAATTAACAAAAAACTTTTTTTTTTTTGTTTTGCATATACCAATGGCCCAAAGGGGAAGAAAGGGAAAATCAGGATAGAATAGCAGTCTTCTCCACCATTTTTCTCTCATGAATCAGTACAAGGCTGTAGAAATAAAATAAATCTTAAAAAAGGTCAGCCTATATAATACCATAACTACAATGAAGCTTTGCATAAAAGCACTACCTATGAAAACCTCAAAAAACAGTTCTCAGAAACATCTCTAGAAAACAGAAATTGTCAACCTACTTCTCATTCTGTATCAGCACACAGACCTGAGAGGGACTTGGGACAGTTTGAATTCCCACTACTACAGGCACCACATCATGATTCCATCATGCAGTAACATCAACATCATGTTTTGCTTAGGTTGTTAACCTGGGTATAATTAGATCTAACAAATTTCTTCAAAATTTTTTTGCACCACTTACATTCAGCCAAATGTGTGTTTAGAACATATCTGTTTAAGAACACTACACTGATGCTTCTTACAAAAAAGACTGAGTTGTCATCTAACAGCATACTAAATTTATATCAGGTGAAAATGAAAGTTCTTACCCCTAAATTCACTGACACTTTCTACACACTTCCTCTTTTCTTTCAATTAACAGTAGGAAGGGGGGGGGGGGGGGGGGCCAGAAAAAC